AAAAAATATTGCGTTGAGACTTAAATATTGTTTAAGTATATTCGCAATACCAAGTATTTCAATATCACTGAAACTTATAAGTGTGAGACTCATACTTTTTTTTCAGTGTTATGTCTGTTAGGTACAAATTAATGTGACGAAACACGGAATCTTGATTTTTAGGCGAGAATTAAAGAACACCTACGCTCACGTTTAAGGAATGCAATTGTACATAAATCATTACTAATAAACTAATAGATAATAAATAATATTAATAAAAATCTACATACATATTTGTTATTTTATTACGTAACGAATAATCAATTCTCAGTGACCAATGGACAAAATAATCCTTCAAGTTCGAAAAATTGAATTAGGTTCATTAACGTGCTGATACAACCGTAGATACTCAATAATTAAATGATTTTTTGAAGTAATAACTTACATAGTACATCAGGTAATTTAATTAATTTTTTTAAATGCTGTAAAACATTTGAAACGTTTTTTGAAACCAAATCCATGTAATGATTCATCAATGCAAATGCTTATTCAGATTTTAAATTTTTCAATCTGTTTTTTTTTTTCTCAATCACAATTAAGTTTTTAATAATTAGCGTTAATTTAAAAATTTTGGGATTCAGTTACATATCAGTATTATGAGAGTCCATTATGTCTTGAAGTCGAATAGAGTTTTAAAAGTTTCATACTCTTAAAAGAAGATAGAAATGAGAATAATTACATGACCTTATAAAAAAATGACTTTACATAAAAGGGTTATGACAGTCAAAACAAAAATAGATTTTTTTTTTGCATTTTTTCAGAGTATATATAATAATAATTCTGTATCGATTTGTAAAAAATGAGATTGTTACATCATACAGTTTTGGAAATATTTAATTTTAAAGTTAGAATTTTTTTAGAGGTTATACATTGCACTATAGGAGAAACGAATAAAATTTTCTAGTATACTTGATTATAACTCAAAAACTTTACGTAATACTTCCATAAAAACTAAACTAACACTAATCAAAATCTATTAATTTGTTTGAAAAAAGGTTTCATTTACGGTGACCATATAAATTTTTAAATATTATTAAAAAATGAGTACAATATTCGAAAATAGTCATGAGTAAAAGTGTATAAGGAATAGTAATGTAATTAATATTTTCTTTATCTATCTTCTTGTCACAAAAATTTGTAAACTTAATTGACATAATTTTTAGTTAATTTAAGTGAAGCTATTTTTTGTTTACTGATAGTAAAAACAGTAATAATTGATACTTATCTCTAAAAAAATTTATTATTAACGATAATAAAACAAATAGTTTAAAAAGACTCCTCGAGATAAAAAATGCATGGTTGGAAAACAGCATTATTTCTTTCCAGCATATAGTAGGCTTCAAATCCGAACGAAAGCCTCAAAATCCTCATTGAGGAATATGAGGATCAAATGAGAATTCCAATATGTTTAAAGTATGTACAGTTATCATCAGAACAACTACATGCGTAGTATAGAGTAGTCGGTTAGGTTTAGGCTTAGAGAGCGTAGGATTCCGTGTTCGAGTCTGAGCGTCGTACGATTTTAGATTAATATAATTTTAATTAATATAATTTTGATACATAGGGAAACAAGAAAGGTAAACGTGTTAAGTATATGAAACGATAATCTGAACACCCAAATTGAAACAACAATCCCAAAAAAAAAAAAAATTTTTTTGGTTTCAATTTGGCTAATTTGTTTTGATGGAATTAATTACTAAAATGTTATATGACAACTTGTACCACTGCCAAAAAATTTTACACCTCGATCACTTTGAATTTATTTTATCAGATAAAACCATTTGTTTGTTTAAAAAATGCAGGGAGGATTTAAAAAACAATAGTGCCATATTCATTTAAAATTTTTAATAGTAAAATTATTGAAGAATATTGTGAGGGTTTTGAGGTTCAAACGTGAATTCTGAAGTTCTATTTTTACCCTCAAAGTTGTAAAACCGTCCGTAAGTAGGATTTTGAGGTTCAAATCGTGACTACTTTCCATATTGAAATCTATCTTGAAATTTCAAATTTGCCCTCAAAAACCTCACTGAGGATTTTGAGGCTCAAATTGGAATTTATATTTTGACTCGGGTATGGTCTTACTTAGTTTGCCTTTAGTCTTTAAAAGTTAAATGTTATCTTTGATAAATTTTTCTAAGCTAAATCTTCTTGATTGACTTTGTACAAATTTTTGATAGGAATTTATTACCTACCTATGTGTGCATGGAGATTTAGATCATAACGTTTACATTGTCCATTGTTCGCGGATCAAGTACTTGCTTGGGTTGGGAAGAGGAAGGTTACGTCAGCTGGGTTAGGTATTAGAATACCTGGTAGATGAGAATTAGACGCTAATTTAGTCGACTATTGGACTATGTATTCATTGAACTGGATGTGTCTCTGTTTATATTGAATGCTGACAATTAAGCGTATCTTGTTGATTGTCTAACGAGCATTAGTTCTAATGTTTGCTGTCTATAAATATCTCTTTACAGATACATGAAATTATTGTGTTCTCGTAAATGTATCAATATATCAGGTATCACCTTATGACCTTTATTTTATCGAATAATACTAACATTACGTGTTTCATTACAGTTTAACGCACGTTGGGGATTATTAGGACAGTAATTTTCATTTTTGTATTCTGCTTGTCTATTATCATCCTCAGGTTGTAAATTTTTATGGAAAAAAGGATAAATTCTTGATTTGATTCATGGATGAGTTCGATAAACTCGAAAATATAATGTAAAAAGTATCGAAAATGAATAATTGAAAGCATATCACACATTGATTCTACTAGAAATAAAAAAAATATTAAAATTTCAGAAAATATTTTTTGTACATTATCTACAGATATGGTTCGTCAAATTCTTTTTCCTGTCATGGTGCTACTGAAGTAAATTCATGACAATAGTACATTCAAGACAGAAAAAAAATAATCTAAATATGTATGCGATAAGATAAAGACGGAAACATATTAGCAACAAATTTTGCCGAAAAAACCTACAAAATACGTCTTGTTTTTTTAATTTTTTTTTTTCACTAAATCTGGACTAAAAGTTTAAATTTCTGTCCTGTTTTGCGGGAAGAAAGTGCCACTTTTCTCCTGTGGAAAAAAAAAGAAAAGAAATAGTTTGATATCTGCACTAAACTTTTTGCAAAACAAAAGTAGAAATTCAAAATTTCGGTTACATATGTGGTAAAAAATAGTCTACACGCCAGGGAGAAAAATATGATATCCTAATCCGCGTGTTCGTCACCCTCGCCTTAGGCTCAGAAAGGAAGAATATAAATTCAACAAAATTTAACTCAATCTATTGCGCAAATTTTTTTAATGAATTAGTTAGAATATCTTGAGCAATGGTTTTGAATTTTTTAAATGCACTTTTATGTTATAAATAATATGAATATTTTGAGTAAAGTAAACTTATTTTGGGCATTCTGTAGTTAGCAGGTTATAGTGTAATTTCTGCAGGTTAATTATAGCTTATAGAATGTGACACTGGAATACAATTTCAAGTACTACTACTGTCTAAATGATACATTTATGATGTTACGAGCAGAGCATAATCTTTACGTGACTATTTAATAGCAATTATTAAAATTATGTCATTATTACATTGATATCAAATGAGTTCACTTATTTAACATTTCCCTCTTTGACTATTGTGGAAGTGGTTGATGTTTGAAGAAAGTAATAAAAATGATATAAAATATAGTGTTATATATCCTTGATTATAAATAAAGTTATAATAGAAATTCAATGATCCATCAAGAATTAATACTCTGGGCCTTATTTTGAAATTTAAAGAACTAATAGTACAATTTTGTTATAACTGATTGTGAACTGAGCATTCTTTGGTCGGATTGTTTCTTTTTTATCCGCCCATCGATATTCTTCTATCAAATAAAAGTTGCTTTAGACGCACGTGTTTGGCACTTTGCCACGTAATCTTGGCTCGTTTGGCATTTTATTTATTTTCCCAAGCGAGAAAAAATGAAATAAATGTAAAATAAAATAAAATAAAAATAAAAAAAAAAAAGATTATACGAGTAGAAGAAGAATAAGAACAAGAACGCGACGTGGATTGAAACTGCATCGAAAAGACTTTTCTTAGAATAGTACAAAAGTAATCTATAAAAGTGCTGGTGAGATAGACCCAGAACGTGTCCCAACTCGTTCTTTCATTATTATCCTATTCCCCCTCCACATACATGAAGAAACAGTATAGTAGAAAAAGTATATGAGTAAAAATGAAGGAGAGCAAGGGGGGAAAACAATTACCAATGACCGTACCGGAAGCTGTGAAGATTAATGGGTCGTTAGAACACTCATCTCACTCTCTTTACAACCCCCTTTATCTTCTGTTCACTATTCATCCTATAATTATCTCTGTACTGTTGCAGGCATGTGAGATACCAACCGATTTTCGTGCAGAGCAATGCAGCGCTTTCGACGATGTACCATACAGGGGAAAGTTACTAAAATGGCATCCATACGACGATCCAACGAAACCCTGCTCTTTAATTTGTCATGGAGTTTCATCTCGATCCTCAACTTTGTCAACAAGAGACTACGACTCCAGCCACCAAGATGACAAAAATAACAAACTAACATCTGAAGAAGAAAGTATTGAGGATAGTTTCACTGAATTGGATACTGATGACTCGATCGTTGTTCAACTTGCTGATAAAGTTCAAGATGGAACCAGATGTCATACTGACAGCCTTGATATTTGCATCGGTGGAACTTGCTTGGTGAGTTTATTTATTCACTAATGGTTATTATATCTTCTATAATCCATGGTTAATTATTTAAATAAAATCCACATTACTTCTTGGCTTAATAACTTTAAATTATCGCGGCTCATTTATGTCAGCTAATAATTTTATAAATTTTATGATAGTCTGACACTAAATGGTAATATCTAATCAGTGACATTTCACGGAGTTTGTGTAATTAAGAACCGAGGTCGGCGAACATTAAGTTGCTAACCATTACTAAACGTACATAATAGTTTTCTGTACTTTCTCAGCTTGTAGTATATACTACAAATTGAGTTATAACCCTGACGTTTATGCAAAACTCAATATTTATCGCCTTAATTATGAATGAGAATCTCAATTGTAGGTAAAAAAATTAAGAAAGCGAAATCATAGGTCAAATAAATTCAATCAAGAAAGGTATCTTATCATAGGAGCAGAAATAAATCTTTGTCTTGATAACATATAGGAGTTCTCTAAGAGGGTTACACAGCAGCAAATAAGCTCTAGCTACCAGACTCTTTCTCTTATGCTCACTTTCATCTTTACCAAGCTTCGACGCCGTCCTCTAGTCGGCGGGGCCGCTTATTTCTGAAAGCAACAAGCACCATTTCTTTATTCCATCGTACACGTGCGATGAAAACTCGCGATACTTTTTCTTACATTCTATACTTGAGAGCCTTTTTTCTTTTTTTTTTTCCTTTTATTTTATTTTATTTTTTTTTTCACTCTTTTATACCTTACACAACCCCTGTATTACATGCAACTTTCTTTTTATATTTTACTGCATGTATCTTCTTTCATTTTTTTATTTAAAGTAGACGGATCAAATTCTTTTCAACCTTACAACACAAAAAAATTTTATGATTATGATTATTATTATTATTTATTTGAAAATTAAAAAATTTTTAATATATTGAGATGTGGCCTGATATCTCAATGTATTGACTTGATAGGAAAATATACACTTTAAAATTTTCATGTATTGAAATAAATTACAGAATTTTCTTTTAATCTGGCTTTTAATATAGCCATATCAAGAAATTATATGTGAGCTAATATTCTTTAGTAATAAAGAATTTATTTGTTTGTTCATATTTTACTTGTTCATTAAATGACATAAATTTTTCCTATTCATTTCGCATTAACGGTTTTCACGGAAAGTTTTGCTATCCACAAAAAATTTGTTTATTGTTATATTTATGAACAGCTCACAGAATAAACATCAAGCTATAAAATTGATAAAAATCAAATTTTTGAAGAACATAAAATTTTTTTCAATTTTTACAAAATATTATATATTGTACATTATTATACTTTATAAAATGATATTAAAATGTTCATGCTTGTTTAAGCTAAGTCAGGCCACATGAGAAATTTTTTTTATGAATGATTTAAAATTTCATCATAAAATGTGATTGCCAGTTTTTTAGTCATGAAAAATTTTAATCGATTGAATAAGTATTACAAATTCTCAAAAAAACTAATTCTGTTTAAAGAAAAAAATAAAGTTTTTCAAAATAATTTTCTGAGACAATTTTACACACGGGTTGGAATGTCCTACTTTCCTCCCTCGGTGCGTAATATACTATACTTAATTCAAGTAAATTTTTTTTCCTGTGAATCATTAAATAAATGAATTCATGACTCATAAAATAATATTCATGATTAATAATATCATTCTGTTTGTAATGGAAGTAGATGTCATTGTTCGTCTGGAAAATGTTGCCTTTTTTATTTTTTTAATTTTATTATCATTTTTGTATTACTCTTTTTTTTTTTCATTTTTCAACCCTATATAACAGTAGTACTCTTTGTTTTCCGAAATCTCCTAACCCAAGTCACGAGTCTCAAGCCATAAGATAAGGGATGAATAATATAATCCAAAGCCTTGAGCCTTATGTGCTCTTACCTGAATGATAAATCAGTCTTCTACCTCGTACTTGGTATTACTCAGGTCACGATTGACGTCAGTTAAGATTTTCTCAGTTTACACAAACACCAGAGTGTCATAATTTAGCCTTATTACTTATTAGTTGTCAAAATATATTTTTATTTCTCTTAATTGATTTTTGATTTTATTATTCACAGATAGTAGGATGTGATATGAAAGTAGGCAGTGGTAAAACAAAAGATCTTTGCGGCGTATGCGGTGGAAACGGTTCGACTTGCCAGTCAAAATACTCCTGGAGCCTGGAATCGATATCTGCTTGCTCTAAATCCTGCGGCGGTGGTAATTATTTTACTCTTATTATACCATTTACTTTTCTGATATTTTACAAAGTGATTACCGTGTAGTAACAAGCACACTTGAGTATAATTATTTTTTATTGTTACAGGTTTTAAAATGGCTGCACCAATTTGCAAATCACTGGAAGATGATAGTACGACCGATGAAGAGAACTGTAATCTTGATAAAAAACCAACGAAAACAATTCTGCCTTGCAATATGCATCCTTGTGCAACAAAGTACGTTTATCTAAATTTTATTTATTTATTATTTATTATTATTATTTTAACATTGTAATTGTAGACAATATTAATTTTTAATTAGTAACTCAACTCCGTCTAGATTTTTTTCTTATTTCTTTTAATGAAGATGGTAATTTAAATTGCTTAAGGTGAGTTATACGTGCAATCGAATTAAACTTAATTAATTGAAGCAAATAGATGAAGACCAAAGTTAAATAAAGTTTATTAATTTAAATAAATTAATAGTTATAAAGTATAGAAGGATAAATTTACCTAAATAAAAATAAGAGTATTCAAATTAAAAAATTTATGAAGCCCTATTTAAATAATTAAAAATTTTTATAAATTAATTTTTGCATTTTGATTCTAACTACAATTAATGTTCAAGTTTTCAACTCAATAATTCGCAACTCTGAATTTCAATCTGTCTCGTATATTCTTATCATGGCTTTAAAGAACATTTTAATTAAAAGAATTTCACTAAACATTAATTGTCAATGTTCTATAATTTTACAGAAAAAAAGATAAAATTGACCTACATACTCTCTTCGTAAGTTATGGAAACTCAATGACATCTCCATGACTTATTTATAGAAACATTGAGGGTGAAAATATAGTTTTTTAAATTTATTATTAAAAATAACAAAATTTTATTCATACATTTTAATCATATATTTTATTATTTCTTTGTCGGCGACTGTTTGCAATAGAAAAATAGTTTCACTATTGAGAATAGACTTTTCGGCGTGACGCCAAAAGTGTTTCCGTATATGACGTCGTTTTAAGAACGAAAAAGCAATACAGAGTAAAAGAGATGTCGGTCGACTGAATTTCTCGTTGCAATGCACACCCTTTTATCCCTCTTGAACGGCCATTAACTGAAAGAAAAGCATTGTAAAGTCATTTCATTTCAGTTTTTTCTATTTTCTTTCTTCAATTTTCTTTTCTTCGTCTTTTATCTTCAAGTTATAGCGAAAAAATATTACTCTCTAAAAAACATAGTCAATGAAAAATATACGGATTGAATTATTAGGCTGATAAATAAATATTTGAATTATATCTGACATTTTATAAAACAATGAAATATAAATAAACAAAAGATTTTCTCTACGATAGCATGAAATTGATTTAGTATACATCGGAATTGCTAACGTGTTATCAACACGCTGTATATTCATATATGTGTGCCAAGCATTTGTGCTGTAGACATGTACAGATGATGATATGTTCTTGTGTGCAGTTCCACGCACAGTTTGTTAATAAATCACTGGGACACATATATATATATATATATATATACAGGCAGGGTCGGCATCGTTAAATCGCGTTAATTGCTCTACTCCTCGCTTTTGTATTTAGTTTAATTTGATCATAGTATATAGTCTGCATATTTGGAGAAATTAATCCTCGATAGCATACTGGTCTTGAGATAACTTAATAGTCGTCTTAAATGAATAATTCTTTCAGTGATAATTAAATACTTTATAAAATATTTGAATAAATCGACTAAAAAATTAACGCTTGTAAATATTCAATGAATCTCAGTAAGATTGTAAAAGAAATACAGTATTTGAAATTCAGCCAAAAACTATAAGAAATAAAATTAATTTTTGGCAAGTAAAGTGACGGAAAAGGGAGTAAAAGAAATTTAAAAAAATAAAAAAAAAGCATAGAAAATTCAACAATGCATGATTCATAACGCCCATTTAATTTTTAATAAAAAATACATTGTATTGATTTTAAAAAAAGGGGAGTAAAGAAAAATATATTTCACGGAAAAAAATGATTCTAATTTTGTATCATTGTTTTTTTATTTTCGGCTCAATTGTATAGTACATGATGCCCGCAGAATATTAAGTATGCGGGTGTAATACATTAGATACAAATTTAAAATCACTTGTACACAGTAAAAAATACTGTATATTTGTGTTAAATCCGGTCTGTGTAACAAATTTTTTGTGTTAAAATAACATTAAGTGTTACTTTGTTGTGGAATTTCAACAAAAATTTTGTGTCGACCGTATTTAACACAAAAATTGTGTTGATTTTACACAATATTTTTTACTGTGTAGGTAAAAATTTAGGATCATTTTTTTGCTTTCCGTGTATTTACAATAACTGATACGGAAAAAAGAAACAAAAATGTAAATACCTGAAGCCATCATGTTATATAAATAATTAAATGCATAGTGACGTAATTATAACAAGTAAAATAACTTTCATTGTATAAAACTATGCTGGTTTATTTTAAACTGACCTTGATTTTTAACTAACCGAAAATAAATTGGAGATCGTACTTTTTTATGGAAGTAATATATCGGTTTTTTTTTTTTTTTTTTTTTTTTTTTTTTTTTATTTTAATCATTGTACATGTTGAAAACTGTCAAATTATCTTTCGCAAGATAACTTCATCACAAAAAGTTAATTTAAATCAGTGAAATCTTTAACTTAACATATACCTATCCAATAATACATACCCATTAAAAAATTATTCTGAAGATCTTTATAGAAAAAGATAATTAAAATAACATTAACTATTTTTAAAATTTATTTTATTCTTGTACAGTACTCTGAGAAAGTTGTTTCATTATTTGATCACTGATCGTCTCTGAAATAAATTAGCTTAACTTAAAATGAACCTCATTAAAACTAGTGTAATATATTACGATTCATTTCACTTAAATAAATTTTCCTCTCTGTTTATGAGACATAAATTTGATTGTTGATATTCGAGGATTATAGAGTTGACGTTTTATGCCGAAAATTTATGGATTTACTTTCGCTGAATAATATCATTTTTTACCTTACGTTTGTAATATATTTTTTTAGTGAACATTATATGGGTTAACATTTACTTGCTATTTTTTTATTGCTATTTTTTATGAATAATTTATTACACTAATACTAGTACTCAATATTATTTGTAATAAGTAAAAAAAAAAGTAATGAAAAAAAAATTCAATCCATCATAAGTAATATTATAAACAATTATTTCGTGAATACTAAAAAAATATCTGGTAAACTATTTTAGATTTCTCTTAGACTTTTTTTGTTCAATGTCGATAGAAAAAATGTTTAGTAAAGTAATCAGATGATATCTATAAGGTAATTGCTTAGAATCGCGACTTTGCCTGCTTATAATCATTAAAAGTCTATGGGTACATTTTTTTCGAACTGAATATTTTTTAACATTAGTATTCATTCAGAATATTTTTTTTTTAAATAAAAATCAATAAAATGATTTAAAGTCAACAAATAAATTATCAAGACGCATACTGCAATAACATTTTAACTAATTTTTCGAAGAAATCTTGTGTTCACTACAAAACCTTAGTAAAAACAAATTATCCATTTCTTACAAGTGATATTTATTTATCTATAATTCAACTGAACAAAAAACAATATTTTTGACGTAAAATATCAGCCATATTTACTCAATATTAACATTTATTTTATACGGGAAATTATTTATAAAACATTTTCTGCAAAAAGCGTATCAACATTTTTTGATCATTATTTCTTCATCTAGAAGATACAACAAAATAAAAATATTTTTCCGTGAAATCCATTGAGTAAACAAGTACTATCAACATTTTTCTTTTAGTTACTTTTTTTGCAATGTACAGAATTACAGTTGAGTTGTGTTCTATGAAAAACTTTAAATGCGCTCTGATTATATTTTATATCTATTAGGTAAAAAATGAATTTTTCTGTTATCCTTAAATTATATTTTTAACGAATCTTTTTTATTTCTATTTTTACAGATGGATTAGTGGTGAGTGGAGTAAATGCAGCGCTAGCTGTGGTGGCGGCTCTCGAACCAGACCCATTTATTGCACAGAAAAAAATGAAAATGATACTATTAAGGTAAGCTAGCAAGCGTATTTTTCTGGTGAGCGTTGAAATATGGAATTAAAAACTTTTTGTTTATATTTTTGTGGAAAAAAATCAGTTATTACTCATACTCATATTATGTATTATTTTTATATTGCAGCTTCCAGATCATAGATGCAACGCCAACCATAAGCCAAAAACTCAAGAAACGTGCAATACTATTTCCTGCCCGATGTGGGAAACCGATCAGTGGAGTGAAGTAAGTTTCTTTATTGATTTATTAAATCAATAATTTGTTCATAACTTGAACAATAATATTTTCACTATTCAATTTACTATTTGGTCAAAAATCAATTTCGATAGCAGTCTGGAGCTTTCAAGACTTTAGTAATCCAATATGCTTTCATATTCCTTAGAATATAGTTGAGATACCTGTCAAGTTTACTGTACTTTTATTCTTTTATGTCCTCTTTTTAGATTAGAAGACTGATTAATTTTTTAATTTAACCATAAATAGTAGAAATCGTTACTCTCTTGAAAACCGAACTGTTCTTAATCAATCAGTTCAAGTTATACTAAAAGTAAAGAGAGAAAGTCTTTGTATCTATGTATATATTTATATCACACGTGTGTTGAACATGTACTTGGTGCAAAACACGACCATGTCTCCGGATTTTCCTCCGGAGATATCAATTTCGGATGGTCTTCTAAACTTAATAAAAATAATTTTCTCATCTCTTTATAACTTTTTGATGCGTAAACTGAAAAGTTGTTTCAATATTCTCATTTTGAAGTAAATTTATAAAAAATTTTCGTTTAAGCTGACACTCTACGACTTGATTTTTGTTGTAATTTTATCAACGCTTTCTGGTCCATTGTATCGTCAAATGTTGGTGCTGTATACTCATGCTCACTTATCTAAGAATTTCCTCGAAAAAGCAGGCTTTTGAAAACTTTTTTTTAATTTTACAAATTACTGTTCTCAATCTATTTTTTTGTTTATTAAGTTTTAAAAATGTACAAAGTAAAAATGGTTACAAAATTAAAATTATATTTCTACCCAACCTATTACCTTCAAATTTGATATGAATTTTCCAATTCTTCCTTTATCGTCTAAATTGTGGAACATTAACAAGTTGGAAACAGAAAAATAAATAAAAATTTTTTCTTCAGGAAGCCTTCATTTTCGATTTTTTCTTATTCTCTTTTGTCTTCACAATAACGGTGTTATTTTTCAACAAGAAATTGTATAATTTTCAATTTAAATGTAAAAAATGTTGGAGAGACTGAAAATCACCGAAACTAATTATTCTTTTCTTTTTATTTTTCTTTTAACAATAATACATTACGGCTTTAATTTTATAAATGTTCTTCACTTATGTTGTCCAATTAAATCTTTGATACCAAAAATGTATTAGACGTATGTTAAAATTATTTTAAAAATCAGACAAAACTATCAATGGGTCATTCCATGTCAAATCGACCAGTAATTGGAATCGACCCCTTTCGATTTGGATGAATTTTGGTCAGAAGTTTTCTTTTATCATAAAACGAAGTTCTGCCAAAGGAAAAAAAATAAAAAAATTTTTTTCGAAAGATATACAAATTCAAAATTTCGCGATTTTTCCAGTTTTTCAATTTTATTTTTGCAATATCTCGAATGCTATTATAGATACAGGAATGGGCTTTTGTTTGTTTAAAAGGGGACACTTGGGGATATTGAAAAAAAAATATTTTTAAAAAAAATTTCGAAAAATGCCAAATTTATCAAATTTTGAATTCTTGAAAATTGTCAAAAATGAAGACCGCCATTAAAATTTTGGCTCAATTTTTTTTGTGATACCTTGTAATGATCTTAAGAGATCCTGAAATTTTTGGATAGGGGGTTTTTTTTTCAAAGATATAAAAATTTTTTGAATTTCAGAAAAAAATTTATTTTCGTTTTTTGCAACTTCTATACAAGTTAAAGTTATGCAGATACATAATATTGTAATTTTGAGTATTTAGAAATCAAATGCACGACGTGAAAATATTAAATAATAAATTTATTTCAACTTTTATTCATTTTTTAGAGATAATCTAAAAGTCAGGCTTAACGCATAATATAATTGCACGACTCATGATGCGAAGCATCAGAGAGTGCTTTACGATCGAAAAATTTTTTTCGCCTCATTTTGGCAGCTATTTTTATTATTATAGCCTTGTTAGTTCACGGAATCAAGATATTTTGCATACTATTGTCGAGATAATTTAATGGAGTTTTTTTTTTAATATTTTATAATTAAATCAGCATTATAAGTCGTGCACTTTTGGATTTTCCAAACTTTTTTTTATTTTCTTAATGCATGATATATTTTGTGCGTTTCTTCACTTCAATTACAATTTTTAACCTCAAATAACTCAAACAGATATCAATTTTCTATAAAAATTAGAAATGATTTCATGGGAATATCAATTTTTTTTCGTTCTTTCGAATACTTATTTACTTACGAATTTCTGCACATACATAGTTCTCAATCTCAAATTACAAATTATTTCCATGTTAATAAGACGTCAAGTGGCATCAACAACTTTAAATGAAGTAAAAAATGGACAATTAACAAATTCTATCATGCGTTATGGATGACTTATTTTAAGGATGCAAGATTATGTCTAAAAAATGAATAAAAGTTGAAATTAATTTATTAATATTTTCCCGTCGTGCATTTGATTTCTAAATACTCAAAATTACAATATATTATGTATCTGCATAACTTTAACTTGTATAGAAGTTGCAAAAAACAAAAATAAATTTTTTTCTGAAATTCAAAAATATATCTTTGAAAAAAAAAAAAAAACCCTATCCAAAAATTTCAGGATCTTTTAAGATCATTACAAAGTATCATACAAAAAAAATTGAGCCAAAATTTTAATAGCGGTCTTCATTTTTGACAATTTTCAAAAATTCAAAATTTGACAAATTTGGCATTTTTCGAAATTTTTTTTCAAAATATTTTTTTTTCAATAGCCCCAAGTCTCCCCTTTTAAACAAACAAAAGCCCATTCCTGTATCTATAATAGCATTCGAGATATTGCAAAAACAAAATTGAAAAACTGGAAAAATCGCGAAATTTTGAATTTGTATATCTTTCGAAAAAAATTTTTTTATTTTTTTTCCTTTGGCAGAACTTCGTTTTATGATAAAAGAAAACTTCTGACCAAAATTCATCCAGATTGAAAGGGGTCGATTCCAACTACTGGTCGATTTGACATGGAATGACCCCAATATCATTTTTTCATGACAATTTTATAAAGTAAAGATGGAAAATAAATTATTTTATACCATGAGCACCGCGATTATATAAAAAAATAATAATCTTATAAATATGTTCCCTCAGAGATATAAATATTTATCTTTACATAGATTGTAGAGAAAATGTTTTTATATTATTTTTATTTGTTTTTCACAGGGCATTTTAAAGTGCCCGTACGCTTGGTTTATTCTCAAAGAAGACACTAAGAGAGTCTGACGTTGAACGAAGGCGGGTGAAAACGGCTATAGTGCGTTAAAAAATGGATAAAAATATTCTTGTATAGGTATAAAGCGTATAAATTCAATCATCTTCCAACATCAAACAACACTTATTTTATCGTTTAGTAATTCGTTTTCAAATAGTTTTATCTTTGAAAATATTAAAGACGAAATTAAAATAGCAAAGTAAATAAATAAACATAAACATAATAAGTAAACAAGCAATCAATCAATCTAATAGGTTTTCATCATTGACAAATGATAATGCATTACCAACAATTTTTACTGACTTGATTTCACGATGAAAAGATATGAAAGCCTCGAAGGGCATTACTTTTATATTATTCTTTCTTCATAATAATAATCCCTTTACTTGAATAAAAATTCAATGAAAAGAAGTTGACAGGAAATGATAAATGTTTATTCTTTTGTAATCAAAAGAAAAACTAATATTCAACCCAGAAAGCTCTTTGGCAAACAGAAAAATCATTCTTTATTATTTTTTATTAGACGATAATTTTTTTATTAATTTGACGAATGTAATGAATATTAATATTCGGTGTAGTGTTCAGCGACATGCGGAACTGGAGTAAGAACAAGAACCATTGAGTGTAGAGACGGAAATGGAAAATTATCAAATGATTGTGATTCTGCAGAGCGGCCTTATGATAAACAGGATTGTAAAACCAACATCGACTGTCCTTTGTGTAAGTTAATTAACTTAATTAAAAAACTCTGTTATTATTATAAATTATAAAATTTTTAAATTCTATTAATTAATTAATTAATTATTTAGATTCAGATGAGATATCACAACCATTAATGCAGCCTTATCCACCGCCTCCAATGCCCGAGAAATTAATTGACCAGCCAATACCATCTGAAGCTACGTAAGTCCATCCGTTTCTCTTCAGCGATTATAGCATGAATCCTTCCAACCGTATAGAGACTGGATTAATTATCCATAAAATAATTATGCATTGTGCTTCTATATTTATCATACATTAGATCAAACCCTTCGCTATGGATTATGAAAGCGCTTATATACACTGAAAAAAAAAAAAAAAAAACTAATTTGATTGAAAAACAATATTTTCTTCAAAATTTTACTCTTACTTCAAAATATTCACTTTACTTAATTCAAAGAGTTCACTTTTGAATCAAAAAATTAAAACTATTGGATCAGGAACAGAAAATTTTCCTTTCAAGAATTTTACGAATTCAACAAGGAAAAATTGCAGTTTATAGTAGAAATTATAAAAGGTGGGCGCCCTCAGATAAAAATTGGAAAAATTACAGTCTTAGAATTGAATTTTTGGAAATCACGTAAAAAGTAGATTTTGAAACTGTTAACTAAGATTTGAAACTGTAAAAATTAATACTCAGAATTCTTATTTATAAAAATGTTATTTAAAATTGTCATCTTCTAAGTTTTTCTACCTGGAGCATCTCTTATAATTACGAAAAATATAATTTTTAAACTAACTCTTTTTCCCGTTATCAAAACACTTTTTCTGTTTTCAAACAAGGTACACATATAATTTGCCGAGGAATCTATTTCTCCAGCAAAAATAAAAATTACTAAATTTGTGTTACTCTCTATATCATTGAAAAAATAAAAATTTGAATACATTTTAGAATATGTTGAAAAAATTCGGTTTTTGAATAATTTTTTTTTTTTTGCTATGTCGAAAAGAGAAACTAATTCTTATTCCAAAAATACAAAATTCTTAAGGGCCGTTCATAAAATACGTTCGCACTTATGGGTGGAGGGGGTGCCACTTACTGGGGGGAGGTGTAATAAGGGATCTAAGGAAGTGTGACGGTCGCTACTCATCAAACAATTTTATAAATTTTCTTTTAATTTAATTTTTTTTATTACTAATCTATCATTTATGATGCAATAATTATAGGGGTGTCGCACAAAATGTGACAGCGCGACGGAGGGGGGTGTTGAAAAAAGTCAAATTTCACATAACGTATTTTATAACTGGCCCGTTAGAAGAAAATGAAATTATTGTTAGTTTTTGAAAATTGTTCTTGGATAAAGAAATTGATTGTATTGATCGAAGATCTCAGTTTTTTAGACCAAGATAATGAGATTTAGGAGAAGAAATTCTTAAAGCAAAACAGCAAGCTGTCTTCAAATTAACTTTTTTGGATCGAATTTATTTCTCTTACATTTTTCGCTCGGTGTCTATTTATGTATATTTATAATCATAATTACAATTATCATTGTTATTGTTGATGATGGTGTAGGTTTATAGCTGATGAATGGTCTACATGCAGTGCAACTTGTGGTGAAGGCATTCGTCATCGTGAAGTTCATTGCAAGATATTTCTCGAATTTAGTAGGACAATAGCTAAACTCCCAGACCGTCAATGTACTGGTCTGAAACCTGTGGAAACAGAGAAATGCATGATCCGAGCATGTGGCCTGATGGAAAACAGTCTCTCGTATAGAGTTGACACTGTTGGAGACAGCGGGTACGAGGAATCTAATTTGATGGATTCATTTAGATCTGCCAGCTCGGATGAGTATGAAGGCAGTGTCAAAGTTGCTACTGGTAATTCTGGACAGACGACTTATTCATGGAAGGAAGCGGGGTACAGCGCTTGCACTGCTTCTTGTCTCGGAGGTATTGTATTTTTTTTTATTTAATAATTTTTAAGCTTACATTTTTTTCTATTCATCAGGAGTTCAAGATTTGATTATCAATTGTGTCCGAGATGACACTGGTAAAACAGTTATTCCACTTCTCTGCACCAAGGAAACAAAACCCGAGTCCCGAATTCGTACTTGCAACGACCACGCCTGTACCCCACGGTAAAATTCTCCTGAATCAGTTAAAATTGATCTTGATTTTGCACAAAGAGACTGATTAATGAAAATAATTTATTTATTTATTTATAGATGGAACTATAGTGATTTTTCACCGTGTAACAGTCCCTGTGGTATTGGTATACAAACGCGAGACGTCACTTGCATACACGAGGTAGCGCGGGGTCCTGGGAATACAGTGGTAGTACCAAACCATATGTGTCAGACGCCACCGCCAGTTGACAGGCAGCATTGCAACGTGTGGGATTGTCCACCCAAATGGCAACCCGGAGAATGGGACAAAGTAACGATCTCACCTTTAATTTCGAACCAATCAATTCCATTAATTAAAAATTGCGCATATATATGTAATCCTATTTACTTATTGATTAAATTCTGTTTCGTAATAGCTCCATCCTGCAAGAATTCCGTACTAGAAAAAAAAAAAAAAATAGATTTCATTTATGAATTGTAATTATAATTTACAGTGTTCTAAAAGCTGCGGAGGCGGTATTAAACGACGTCAGGTTGTTTGTGAACAAGTAATGGCTCAAGGTCACAAGCAAATTCGTCCTGACCGAGAATGCCAAGGAAATAAACCTTCATCTGAAAAACCATGCAACACCAGATCTTGTTATGATATTGGGTTAAATGTTCAACCAGTGATATTCAGTCAGAATACGACGTTTAATCAGCGGGATCCTGAACAAAAAGTTGATCTCAAAATTGGGGGGACTGCAACAGTATTTCAAGGGATACCCGTGGTCAAAATTCGTTGCCCGGTTAAAAAATTCAGCAAGTATGTTATTATTATTGTTTTTTTTTTTTTTATTATGTAATTAATTAATTCAAATTGCTTATGCGTAGGGGGCAGATTATTTGGACAAAAGACCGTGCAGAATTACACAAATCTCGAAAGTATAAAATTAGCCGAAAGGGAGCTTTGAAGATAATCGATATTGGAATTACTGATAGCGGCTCATATGCATGCATTGGTAATTCAACGTACTATCAATTTTAATAATATTATCAAGAATTAATTAATAATATATCGATTTTATAGCTGGACAATCGCATGCCGAATTACGTTTAATAGTGAGACCTCGAACCAGAGAGCAAATGAGTAGTGAAGAAATTTTACGATTTGGTAATACTGTGAATCATCGACAGGATGTTAATTTGGATTCGGGAGGCGCAAGTTCTGGCGAAAATTTACAAATCGATCGCGCTGGTAATTATTACATTATTAAATTTAAAATATGCATATTTGTTATAATTTATTAATTTAACGGCTAATATTATAGCACCAGCTTATCAAGGCGCCTTTTCATTCGGGAATGATGATCTCAGTCACGAATCACGGCCTGAAATACCTTCTGTAGGAAAACCAACTAAAAAACCCCGAAGGCCTAAACGTCCAAAACCAAGTCCTCCAACATCGGACGTAATATCCAATGGAGAGTATTCAGTAACGTCAATTCATCAGGTAAATCCATTATGTATTCTCATACTAAAATAGTTTTATAAATCTAATGAATATTGAGTGACAGCTAATCAATACAACGTTTTATACCAAAAACTTATTATTAGCTTGTGTTCCGAATATTTTGGGATAAAAAAAAAAGTTGTATGAAATTATAAATACCTTGTTAAAAATTTTTGTAAATTTACAAATGTTTTACAAAACAAAATCTTAGTAAAATTACAAATCAGTATGTGGCAAATACAATGTACAATACAATTCGAATAGTCTGCCAAAACATATGTCAGGAAACCTATTTAGATGAGTTTTAAGTTGACAAAATTTCATGTAATTATTCTACACGTATTGTAATTTCATCGAACCTTAGTTCTATTTTCGATAAAAAATTTTTAAAATTTACAAACATTCCTTGTAATTTGATTTACGCCAGTTTTTTGTAAAGTTACAACAAAATATTGAAACTCAAATTACTATGAGGTGATTTAAAGTTGACAAATATTTGTTTTATTTTTACAACTGTGACTTTTGGAAATTCCATGGTGCATAGTGTAATTTCATAAAAAATATTTAATATTTATACACGTTTCGTAATTTTACTAAATCATTGATTAATTTTTAACAATGAGATTTTGAAATTCACAAACGTTGTTTGTAATTTCATTTGTCACATTTTTTTTTTTTTGTTGTAAACAATCTTATATAATAAAGGGAAAACCGTTTTTTGTTCTCTTTCATTAATTTTATGCATTATTAAATATTTCCTAGTAATTAATAAAAAAATAAAAATTTTTAGTTTCCACCGATTATTTATCGTCAACTTAAATTATTTATTTTAATGTTCATAAACAATTTGTGAAAAATTATTTTTAAGTATTCCAAATAGAGATTTTTTTTTTTATTTTCTTTTGTTCTTGAAAATATTTGTTCGAATTTCGATGTTTATTAGGATTTTTTAAATTTATTTATAAATTTCTTTTGTTTTTTTATGAAGTCTAAGTTCAAAAAAGTTCCAAATGTTAAGTTTGAAGACGCCTTTGTTTTCAAGTAGACTGGTGGAAAATTAGACAATAGTTTTCTTCATGTCTATTTTTGCTAATTTTTAGTCTATGAATTTTTATTTGTATAGATAAATTCGACGCACTATCACTTTTTTATAAATATATAATATGCTTCAATTTTATATAAAATTTTTTATTACTTATAAACAATGTAAACATTAGTTCTTTGCCATCAATACACTGTATTAAATAACATAAATAATAAGTCGTAATGCTTCATCAACAAATAGGATCAGGAGGCATGCGTAGTACTTACCTCAGTCAAGTACACGTTTATAGCTTATAACAATGATGAGATGTTAACTAAAACCTATGAGTCATGTAGCGTAGGGCATTAGGTATCGATCTGGCAAACGCGCGACCCGGGTTCGAATCTTGGTTATGGCAGATACAATTTTCGCTTTATTTCTATAGTCAGAGAAAGTTAAGTGTAAATAAGGTATCAAAATTCCGAAATTTTTGAGTAAGCGCTCCATAAACTGAAAACAAAATAAATTATAGAGCAAATTTTTCTCTTTAATTACTTTAACTACATATACATATAATATCATTTTTATCTCTGAAATCACAAAACATTTTAATGAGAATTTGTTTGATGAAATTACTACATTTCTATTGTCGTATTGTCGAATTGCCGATAGATTTTTAGTAAAAGTAAAAAGTGTTTTGTAATTTTCCAATACAAGAGTAAAAATTACCTGATTTATAATACTACAAAACTATTTTAAAAATATACTTCCAACGCATTTTTTGTAAAATTACCATAGAAATTTTTAACAGTGTAATATTGGCCTACACTTGATATGTGAAATAGAAATTTAGCTACTTATTTTAATAGAATTCGCAAAGATCATGTACAATTAATTTTCTATACAAAATTTTATACATAAAAAATTGATGCCACGCAGAAAATTTTAATTAACAGTAAAATTCATCGCACTTTAAGCTAGGCAGATTTTAACTTCACTTATGAAACCTGCAACTACTTTGACTGAAACTTTCAATGCTTATTTCAAATTTTTTTTCTTCGTGTCAATCATTATTTATTTTTGTAAGAAAGTCACGGGAATCTTATAATGATTGCTCATTGAAAGTTACATTTAATATTAGCTAGAATAATTACATGGATAAAAGGTACAGGCCAATTCGATGGAATTTGGAATCTCTGGAAGTCAAAACAATACTTTAATTAAATATCAAGTCTAGATCTAAAAATATAATTCTATAAAGCACCCAGCGGAGCAGGTGGGTAACAGCTAGTATCATATAATACAATCGAATAAAGTTCACTGCGAGCTTAAATTTAATTTCATAATTTTAGCTCAATCATTGAAACTTTTATTTCTTTTCTACCCTAAAATAATTTCTTCTTATCTTTCTTTAATTGCTGCATTTAAATTTTACTTGATGGAATGGATTTGAAAATATAAATATTTAGCCGGGTTATCATGAGTCTGTTGAATCTACAGCTTCTTCTAGTGCTTCTCGACTTACACCACATTTCAGTCAATTAATTTCTACCTTGCAGGTGATATTTTTATTTATATTTTACAATAAATAATTAATAACTTTATTTATAATTATTAAATACTATTTTGTTCTTCCTAATCATTTTTCAAACCCATTTTCTTAAAATAATTATTATAACAAATTAATCTTTATAAATTTCAGTCATATTGGCCATTCCAAAATGGTGGATCGTCTAATCGAGGGCACCGAATGGCGCCTGAATTATCTCCCAACAAATTTCACTCGAAAAATACCCTCGAACTGAATACAAAAGATCCTAAAGATAATGACGTACATATACATTACGACAGCATAGACAAAGATTTCGATATGTTTGGACGTAATTCGGTGATTCCTGACGACAAATTTGGACCGGATGAAGAGCGAATATTTATTGAGGACGAGCCTTATGATTTCGACAGCGCTATATCTTCAATGAATGCATGGGACAACAGAAAAAAATCAACCGAATCGCTTAGAATTTACAAACATCGATTCACGACGGAACAAACTTCTGATTACTTTGAAGAATCTTTGAGAAATATTAAAAACCAAAACCTCAATAACAATGTTGATAATTATTTGAGAAATGAGCGAGGTATTAAATTGAGTAAAAAAAATAGCGAAAAAATTTACTCGCCAACCGAAACTTCTACTATTGACACCTATTTCCAAGGCCATACTGATGATAAAAATAAAATTACGGAGATTTATCCATCAACAAATCCACTAGAAAAAAGTTACTCAGTAGAATCTCAAGATAAGAATGATTATTCTAAACCTCATCTTAGTACTACTGGTACCTCTCCAACTCCAACTATAAGTAATGACAAATCAACAATAGACTTGGATAAAATTGTAAATTATTCTGTCCATACGACTGTTAAATCAATAGCTAATGATAATGTTAAATTATCAACAGAATCTTTGACGATAAAATTGCCTGAAGATGATGAAAAAATGTTTGACTCCGGTAGCGAAATGGAACAAATAGAAGATTCATATGAAGAAGAATTGATAAAACAAAAGCTATCTAAAAATGAAACAGCAAAATTGTCAACAAATCACAGTGGAAATAATTCAAAAATTTCGAGTGATGAGATTGCTCGAGAAAATGACTCAGAGAACATCGATCACGGAGCGGTTGAAGTGTTGAGTAATGAGGATACTACGGAAAAAACACGGCATTCAAAACATAAAAATCACTCTCATAACTCATTGAAGAATAAAAATTCAAATCAACCATTAATACAAGTGGAAACATTGACTTTTGACATGAACGACACCACTGATGATACTTTCAATATTTTTACTAAAGAAACTAGTGAGAATTTAGTATTTGAATGGGTTACTACTGAATGGTCTAAATGTTCGCAAACTTGTGGAGGTGGTGGATTTCAAATGAGAGGAGCTCAGTGTATGGTTCGTTCAACAAAGCCAGCTAGTAATAACACACGAGTTTCATCGAGAACTGTAATAGGTGCTTCGCTTTGTGAAGATGCTGGTTTTAACGTACCGGCAAAAGTTCGTCCTTGTGGCTTAGAGAGATGTCCCCAATGGCATACAAGTGAATGGACCCCGTGTGAATCATCACGCTGTTTTAATTGGAAAACTGGTAAACACCCAACTTTTTTACTGATAAAAAGAACACTATCAACAACACGATTAAAGTTGCTTCATTGATCTTTGATCATTCTATTCACTCATCATTATCCATCTGATAATTATATTTGAAAGCTATTTATTAATAAGATATATTATAAACCATACGTTATTTCAACTATTAGAAGTTTTTTTTTCTTTTTTTTTTTTTTATATAAAATATAACAGTTAGTAATCATTTCAAATAATATTTGTTTGCTATTTTCATAATTAATTAAACGTTATTTTACAAATAAATATTAAAAAAAAATTTTTTTTTATTAACAAATGATTTGAACTATAAGAAAATTTTTTTCAATCTCCACAAATAATTAAGAAAAGAAAAAGCCTTAAATGAGTAATTTTTTACGGCGGTTTTCAAAGGTGAAAAAATAATTATACCATTTAAAAATCTTAGCTTCATTTTATTAGAACTTTGAAAAATATGTTTTTAAACGTCTTTGGGGTGACCGGAGTGCTGCATTTGTCATATATTTCTAATCGAATAATTTTTTTCAATTTCTTACTGATACAGAAAAAAATAAACATACAAAATTAAAAATTAAGTAAGTCGTCTGATGAAATATTATAATTTTTTCGACAATTTTCATCTCTAAAAAAAAAAATTTATACAAAATCTTTAAAACTTTGAGTTCATCTTTGCGATAACAATAGAGATAAAAGCCTCCCAAAATTTCAGTCGAATCGATCACTAACTTTCTGTCTCAATATATTATGTTTTTCGAAATACAACAAAAATAATTCATGCTTCGAAAATTGTAAAGCGTTTTCTTCATTTAATAATTTGTACTTGAAAAATGTTAAGCAATATTTTCAATCAACATTTTATCCCCTATAAATAAGATAAACGATATATTGCTGTTTAATTTAGATGACATTAAAATAACTTTATAAATGTCATAATAAGAAAATAATTTAATCCAGTAATTTAAGTTTATCAAATTATCATTCGCACATTTATAAAATTTATAATTATAATTTAATTTATGCATTCAATAGCGAGTCATTTTTAGCTTATTTATTCTGAAAGGTTATTCAATCATATATAATTTCTACTGTATGTCTATATTTGTAAGAATTATTTTTGGGGCAATACGTGAGAATACCTTCAAATTACTTATTTTTCCTCATCTCAAAAAAGTATTTAAAATTTATTGACTTCTGTATTCACTTTTTAAAAGAATTTTGTTGTAATTAAAAACTTTATTTTTTAGCAATGCAAAGGAGAGATGTTACCTGTCGTTTAATTGAAGACGCAGTTAACGGCTCAACAAACGCGACTATTCTTAATACCGATAAATGCGACGACGCAATAAAACCACCACAAAGACAAGAATGTTATAACGATGCCTGTAAAGGAGTTTGGAGAGTAGGTGAATGGTCGGAGGTATGAAAAAAATATTAGAAAAAAAACGACTTTGTATTAAAAATTTAATATAATAAATACTAAACGAAATTTTTTATTCTATCTAGTGCACAGCATCTTGCGAGGAAGATGGCATTAAATATAGAATTTTACAGTGTGTATGGTTTGGAACAAAAAAGCCTGCAGGTAACGCATGCCGTGATATACCTAGACCTCCAGTTATGAAAATTTGCAAAGGTTCTCCGTGTCCTCGAGTACCTGGTAATTCATTAAGTATTAATATATTTTTCTAATTATTATTTATGACTATAAATGTAAATTTTATATTAATCGAATTTTGTTTTTTCTATTTAGAAGACTGCGAAGATCATTCGCCACTATGTACCAGGGTTAAAATGATGAATATGTGCCGAGTACCGCTTTATCAGAAACAATGCTGCAAATCTTGTCGCTAAGCATGAAGTAACAATTAATCTAAAAATAAATGTCAATATTGACAGTAATTAGATAATTACTTGAAATGAATTAATAATAATAAGTAATAGTATATGATGGAAAACAACAGTCGAAATGCCAGAATATTAATATGATGAATAAATTATAAAATATAAATATAAATAAAGAAATAAAGAAATAAATGACTTAAATAAGTCATTTTTTAGATAAAAATTTATTTTACGCACACTTTAAACATAGCACTTATCTCTTTAAAGGAGTGAATTTACCTCGTGTTTTCTCTAAAAATAAGTATTAACTTATCACTCTTCTTCCTTGCATTATTTAATTTGAAAATGATAGGAAGAAGATTATCAGAAAAGAGATTAAGAGAATATTGTTAAAGTTCAAAATAAATTGAAGGGTACTTAATTAATTAGTTTATCCTCAAAGGAGTATGACTATGAATTTAATATATTTAATAAAATTAAAATATTAAAAAATAAAAAAAAAAAAAAAACATGGTAATTAAAAAAATGAAAATAAAATAAAAAAATATTTATAATTGATTTTTAAGGCTTACTAAAATAAAAATCATGGATTATTTTATTTCACAGCTTTTACTCTCTATAGATAAAAGAATGGTTTTTTTATTAAGACTGAAAATGGTTAATTAATACAAATAATAATAACTTTTAATGGAAATTCTGCAGGGCATTAGATAAATTAAATTTGCCAGTAAAATTCATTATTTAATTATTTTCACTACATTCCGCGAGTACAAATTTAATTATGTTATTATTATTATTGTTTAAATTGGTTTTATTTATTTTTGTTATATTTCTACATTAATTTAACGCATTTTAATTTATTTAATTATAGGAAATCGCTAAATTAATACTTCACAGCATAAGAATATAAAAAACAAAAAAAAAGATACATAGAATACAAATTATTACTTGCCTACAAAAAAAATCCTAAAAATAGTTTCTAAGCAATAAATAAAATAAGTAATGTAATATAATTATAATATTTATAATTTTTAGTGAAAATGAATTTTTTATCAATTTGAATTGAATACAAAAATTGAGTTTACAATTTTATTGATTTACATTATATATAAAATTAATTAAAGCATCGAATGACAGATTTACTATTGTTTTAAATTAAAACATAAAATTTATAAAAATATAATAATTTAATAATTAATAATTATGTTTTTCGTAACAGATATATTTAATAATTTATAACTGACGACATTTACTGTATATAATACGATCCCACTATGTAAAATGAATATTTAAGATTATAAGTGAATAAAGAGTAACATTGTTAATTTATACAATAATACTCAGTAATTAAAAAAAAAAAATCATTACATCTTTATGTAAATATGTAACTGTCTACTCATCAAAACGAAATATAAATAAATGGAAAGTATATCTATAAGGATAATTTAAAAAATAATAATTATTATTTCATTTTATTTTATTTCCTGATTGTAAAATTGATTTGTTATTATAAAAAGATGGATGAACTCTTCAAAATGTGCTTTAATAACTAATATCTTTCTTGTAAAAAAATTCTTAAACTTTTGTAGACCTAAAAAGAAACATCATATGTACTTACTATGATTAGGAATCATGATCCTATTTAAAATACATTAGGCAATTGTTTGGAAGTGGGGTCTACCCTTTTTCGGGTGATAAATGATCAAAAAATAAATACTTTTAAATCTTTATTTTTTTTTAAATATTCTACTATGAGACAAACAGGATACTAATAATTTTATAAAAATAGTCAAAATTCATTTAAACGCCTTTAATGGTAAAAAATGTAATGTCGACTGAAAATCGTTAGTAAAGTATGACCACATAATTCTAGTGATTTATTTTAAAAATTCTAAAAATATTAATTTTCTCTAATTTCTAATCATTTTTTTTTTTTAATTTTTCTAATCGAAAAATTTACATTTATTTTTTTAATTTTGACTAAATTTATTGTATTTTTGATAGACTTTAAGAGAATAAGTATGTAGTTCATAAAAATTTTAAACATTATTTTTATGGATTAAAATATTATAGACCTTATTTCCAAACAACGATCTGACATTGTTTTATCAACGAAATACCTCAAGACCTGGATTCCAAAAAACGGATAGTTTGTAAGATATAACAGTTAGAAAAAGATTTAAGGTTTACAAGGTTCATTATTCGACAAAATTAAAACATTAATCATTTAATTGAAACTGAAAAATAAAGTAAATTTTTTGTTTTGAGAAAATTTTTTTCTGTCAATAACTTACTGTTTTTTTTAAGGAAAAAAAGTTTTAACAAATTATACTTTTTTTTAAATCCTCTGATATACGTATATATATAATTGCACAATTGGGTATAAAAATCATTTGAAAATGCTAATAAACATATTAAAGTTACTAAAAAAAAAAAGTTTTTATTATTTCAAAGTTCCCATATTTTCATAACATCATCATCCTCAAATACCCAAAGTTCTCGAATAATTTTCCATCCTGGTTTTTGTGTAACCGTTAAATAATTATTTTGGGGCTCATTTAAATGTGAATAAATTCCTAAAATTAAGCTTTGACACAAACGAGCACAAACAGCCGTTTTTAAGATACTTTTTTCAAAATTTGATAATGTCTTTTTAGTTCGATATCCGCTAATAAGATATTTTCCCGCTTCTATATCACAAGCTTGTATTATCATATAACACAAAGTTATTGCTAACTCAAATACCAAGTACGAATACTGAGTATCACCAAAGTCAATAATCCCTATGACTTTATTTTGTTCTGAATTTATCAAAATATTCTGTTCATTTAAATCGCCATGAATCATACCTTTATCTAATTGATTAAGATTACCGATAACATCTTTTTCAAATCTCTTAATTACATCTCCCAGTAATACTTTATCACTTTCATCTTTAATAACAAACAAATAATCACGCAATCGTGGTACTTCCATAAGAGTCCATAAATGAGTACGATTTGTAAAAGAACTATGAGAAAATCCACGGAGTGCTTCATTTAAAGTAGCTACGAATTTTCCTACATCAAAAAGTAGTTCTTTCGTTACTTTAGCATTGTATAATATTTCTCCAGGGCAAAAAACCAACAAGCGTACCTAAAATAATATTTTCATAAATTAATTTTGATTTTAAACAATGTTTACTCCACAAAATTAAACTCACGATATGTTCAGCAATGTCTTCATTTTTCAGTTTTTCCAAGGAATAGTAAGAACCATGGATATTTTTTATAGGCGCGGAACAAGCTATATTGCATTTATTTAAATACAACATCATTTCATTTTGCCCTTCAATACAACTTTTGTCTTTAGAGTCTATTGAATTCATAATCTTCAATACATATCCGTCATGATTAATCTTTTTTACATGTGGGTTTTCAAATTCGGGGTCGCAAAGTATTCGATAATTTTTATCATCATAACTATTCAACTCTTGAATATTTTTCACTTTCAATCCGTATAATTTTTCTACTAGCTTTCTAGCTATTTCATCACTGACTACCGGTCTTATTTTTCGCTCAATTACTGGTGAAGCCATTGTTTTATTTCTAGTCACTAAAGTAAAAAAAAATTGTTAAAATAAAACTTAATCTCAAAATGTGCGAAATAATTATTTTCTTGACATAAAATTTTTTAATAATTTCCAGATCTCAGATTATTTCTTTAGAGTTCAAATTTAAAGACTTTTATTTGTTGAATTAAAATTTCAAAATAAACGATACAAACTTACCTTAAATAATTTATCGAGAATTCAATTGATCTCAAATTTTTTCTTTTAATCAATCATTAAATTAAAAAAATTTTATTATTTTATGCATAATTATGAATTTCCAAATTTTTATTCATAAAAAATTAATGATTGATGTGTTTATATTATTTTTATATTTATCAACTTATAGAGCACAATATAACTCAGTAAAAATTTTATAATTTATGAAATTTATTTTAAATGAAAATGAAGGTAATAATTTTATTACTAAAAGTTACTGACTTTCCTTTCAGTTTATTATGACGGCCCAACGAATAATACGACACTGATACCAGTAATACATAGGTTCATATTATTTATATTAAGTGAATGATAGCGGAGATTACTGCCGTCTACATTATTGTATAGAGTAGCTACGTAGTCTACTTATCATTTAATGAGTTTAATTAAACAATAAGCGTAAATAACAATATAATTCTTTTAAATTGAATTGAAATGATTTAATATTTATTTTATAATAAATGCTGGTACGAAATAAAAAATATTTTTAATGAATGGCACAAACAATATAATTTATTGTTATCGAATTGTTCAGAGAAATTAGTAATTAGTAAAAAGAAAATTACTAATTCTTTAGGAAAATTAGCAATTAGTAAAATAAAAATTCTAATTAGTCTAATATTATTGTTAAGTATTTGTTACACATTTGGCGCGAGAAACTGCCGTGTCTCCGTATCTGTTAAAGAAGAAATTTATGCTAATTTTATTTGAAATTAGATCAGAAGATTATTTTTTAATTTTTTCTTTTTTTATTTATTAATTGCCGTATTTATTTTTGTATTTTTAACTATAAAATTCCTTCTTCAATTACATACTTATTAATTTATATAGAACTTCAATGAAATAAGAAAAAATGAATTAAATAAAACATTATACATTCCATTTAAGTCATTACGATTTAAAAATAAATTAACTATATTTCCTGAAATCGATTTGAAAAGTGATAAATTCAGTTAAATTGTCGGAGCGATAACTTGACAGGTAAAATTATAATAAAAAATTGAAAATTAAATTGATAATCAAATTTGAATCGACATTGATGCACCTGAATTTAATCTTTTTTTTCCACGACTTCTACAATTGAAAGCACAACGACCTCGTTCCGTGACCTTGTCCTTTGAAGGTGGAGACTTTGGTCTCAAAGCTTCTATTTTCTCCGTGCAACTGGTTGTTGTTTGATTGGATGCGAAATATCCACTGTATATGTCGGTATTGAAATTAATGTTGGTCAATTGGGAACCAACTATCAACCAGTCAGGACGAATTGTGCTACCTTTTCCAACAAATAGAATCTGAAAATCAAATTCAACATCAATAATTGATTAAATTAATCCAATAATAAAATTAAATTTAAATCATACCATCTTCTTCCTTGACAAAAATGTTCAATGATGTGAAAAACTTTCACAGGCTTTTCAATAGAACCATATTCAGACTCCTCCGAAATGATTGAATCAATATCAACATTCGCATGAATAAAATCACCATTGATGGACCTTCTTTCTGACTTTCACTTTAATTTCTACAAGTCAATGTTATTCGTCGGTTGAAAACTACTTTGCTGTCAAGATCCTTGCTATTTCCAAGATTATCAATATTCGTACAGATCCAACAGATGTATTCATAGCAACGGAAGCCCTATTTGCGCAGACAAAATCATCCCATACCCGAACCATCGGTGCTTTTACACCATAACAAGACAAAACTGTGGTTCGCTGAAATTTCTTCAATATTCAATTCCATTATCTGATCCTAGTTCAAAGCTCGACGTTAGTCGCATCACAGGTTCTCCTATATATATACTCTTTCAATGGCAGTTCTATCAAAATGACATTAAACTTGCAGTTTAAGTCTTTCAAGTTCAATGAACTTTTCAATGTCAGCATAATGTTGACAGTGGCCATTGTGCAGCTTCAACAAATGAGTTCCCTAGAAAAAAAGAAACAGTTCTTATTAAAAAGGCTAGACATTTATAGCAGCTATTTTGATAAATATGCTCCAGGATACTTTAAAATACCTTTAAAATGTTGAAGAGTCTTTATAGACTCTTTGTTCTACCAATGATAATTTTATCATGGATAAAATTTTATCTTGGATTGAAAAACTGGCCCTTTGATCCTCAGTTTTGTCTTGACCAGACTTGATGATTCCAACTCAAGCCTTCTTTTTTTTGAATTCCGTCATCATCTGTGTCCAACACTTGTCGTAACTCGTCCAGATTAGCAATCCAAAGCTCTAAAACACAAGATTTATAACGATTGCCAGAAAATGCTGATATAATTTTCTTTCAATATATTAAAAACATTTTTAGCAGAGATCTAATATCTAAACAAATATGATGATGAAATCCTGATTGTATCATTTTAATTAAACAGAAAGAAGTAATTTCTTAAAATTTCTGGATGTGAAATTTTCTTTTGAATTTTAGTGTTAATAATTTTTTACGTTTTTGAAAACGTTCTCGTTGTACTTGTAACATTATTGTTTTATAAACAAATTATGAACACTTTACTCAATTTATAAAAAATACGATGTTTATATACTCAAAAATAGGTTAACATTTTATTTTAAAAAATACAAAGCGTCGATAAATCTTGTCCAAATTAAAACTTACGAAATTCTCTATCATAATAATATTAAAACTTGAATAAATATATATTTGTTTTAAAAAACTTTTTGCTAATGTTAGCTAGTAAATAATTACCGTTGACATTTGATCAAGGTCCGTACATAGACCATTAGAGATCCTTGGTAAAGGACATGTACGGACCTTGGGTCAGGCTGCAGAAAATGTTCAGCCTTATTACTAAATTCATGTGATAACTTACCGTTAATCACGCTTGACATAAATGACATAAGGAGGGTATTCTGTAATACCATCAATAAGACTGTAAGTTTTTGGTGTTAGATGGCGTTAGTTTTAAGATTATAATGTAATCTAATTATTGGCTATATTGGTTTACACCAACGCTGTGTATTGTTAATGAAAAAAAAAAGAAAAAAAAAAAAGTAATCTAATTATAATATACAAAATTCTCGTATCACATTGTTAAGGGAAACTCTCCTCCGAAACGGCTTGACCGATTCTTATGAAAATTTTTGTACATATTTGGTATAAGTCTGAGAATCCGTCGGAAACTATTTTTTCAACCCCTACTCTCTAAAATTAAAATAGTGAAAATTCACTGTTTGGTAGTGAATATTCACTATTTAAAATATTTAAAAGTATACCACTACTAAATAGTGAATATTCACCAATCGAAGTAGTAAACAAATCACTCTTTTGAAATAGTGACCACATTCACTTATTAAAATATAGTGAACAAACCACTAATTGAAATAGTGACCTTAGTCATAGTACTGGAATAGCTGTTAATCACTCATTGAAATAGTGGAATTTTTATAAACAAATTAATCAAAATGACATTTTTAAGGATTCAGGAATTTTAGAATATTTATTTTTGTTCAATTTATCAAAAAACCAGGTTTTATAAAAATTGTTAAATATAATTTAAAAACACACAAAAAAGCATTTACTTATGCATTGTTATTCACTTTCCGAACATAAATCAGTGTTAAAATTAAAAATATTTGTGTGAATCGAAGACACGATGTTGTACGGCTGCACATCCATGTCGTAAACATAAGATTCTAAGAAAATTATAAAAATTACGCAAGCTTTCTAGCCGCTCCAAATTCATAACATAATAAAACTTGAATAATAAGTCAAAACTTGCGACTTGGTTTCCTTCCTCATTCACATTTATAATCCAACCATCCCCTTCAATGAAAGACAATTTGCACGACTGGCCAGAGACTACCATTAAATATGGTTGTACATTTGTTTTGCTTCTTTGACGTATGTTTTTAACATATTCTGTCAAATTCGTACCTTCCTGAAAAATTTATAACAAACAGTTATTAGACTTTCTAATATAATTTACCTAAAATTAGTCACCATGCCAAACGTAACGTCTTTTTCTTTTAATAGTTTTCTTTTTTTTTTTTGCTAATATGGTGATCAGTCTAAAGTTAAATATTAACAACAATTTATAAAAATTAGTATTCTTACCGGTAACAGTTTCAAAAAAAATTTACTCGGAAATTCATTTATAAATGATAAGGTCGACCCACCGCTAAATATTTTTTTTTATTTTTTCGAAAAAATTTTTCATTTTTATTTTTATATGATGTGGCATTAAAAAATACATCCAAACCTAAATTTTCACCCTTTTACTACCAATCCCTATTTTTTAACACTTCAGTACTCACGTTCTTTTTAGTGTCTCACTTGCACTGCAGCGACATCCTATAAGTTGAATGTTGTTGCGGAAGAAAAATTCTCATAGCGAGGGTACTGAAGGGTTAATAAGGATTTTAATCTTGTAATATAAATTTTTTCGGCAAAATTTTTTATTTTCATTTTATTATGATTTGGGATTGGAAAATACACAACGCAATTTTTTAATTTTCTCTTTTCTTCCACAGATCAGTAATATGTAGGGTTGTAACATGACATTCCAATATAATAATTGTCGTACGATAAGTTTTTATGTATAATTTTTTATCTCAATTTACTTCAATTATATTTTTTTTTAAAAGTTTAAATTAATCTTTTTAACTCTATATAGATTAAAATATTATTAATCATTGGAATAACAGAATTAGATAATATGATTCGTATATATAATATATTTACAATCTACAATCGTCGTCATTAATTTAAGTATGTTTTTAATATTACTGGAAAATAGCCGTTTGTAAACTAGGACGTTTATTAACTCTAAATTTGGAAATCAGTTGATAATATCATTTGTAAAATTAGTCGCAAATCAAAAATTATATTAATGAAATGAGCCAAATGGAAATTTCACCAAATATAAATTCAGTCATAAAATAGCGAAAAACAAAAATTTGTGGCTACGTGAATTTAGCCAATTCTTACTGCAGAAACTTATAAAATAAGCCGATTGTAAACTTTACGAATTGTAAAATTAGCCGTTTTTAAACTTCTTATAACTTTTGAATGGGTCGGTCGAATCTGCTCTAATTTTCAGAAAAACTAAATTTATGGAAGTCCTTTTAAATACCTCAAATCGTTTTTTTTTATCCGTCGATCCATTTAAGAATTACGAGAGATTTAGAAACAGCTAATTTTATAATTCACAAAGTTTACAACGGGCTAGTTTTATAAAAGTTTCGGCAGTAAGAATTGGCTAAATTCACGTAGCCACAGATTTTTGTTTTTCGCTATTGTATAAATGACTGAATTTATCTCTAATGAAATTTCTATTTCGCTAATTTCCTAATTTCATTAATATCATTTTTTATTTTTAGCTAATTAATGTCACAAATGACATTATCAACTAATTTTCAAATTTAGAGTTGTTAAACGTTCTAGTTTACAAACTGCTATTTTCCAGTAATATTAAGAACATACTTAAATTAATGACCACGATTGTATCTATCTTCTATATAATTAACCTTCCGTTACTCGCGCTTTCTCTAGTGTCTCACTCATACTCACACCAACTCTACTAGGTTAAGTAGTGTTGTGCGGGGAATCCCCGTATAGCGCGAGTAATAAAGGGTTAAAGGAGATTCCTATCTATATATAGTCACTCATCACTAAATCTCGGGAACCATAGGACTTAGAAACTTGAAACTTGGTATGTAGGAAAATATTACTTTTGCTATGTAGAGGTTGACTAAGAATGGATTTTGAGAAATTCATCCCCCAAAGGGAAATGCGGGGGCGTTAACAATGAAGAACTCTCATTTCCAAACAATAATTTCTATGGACTCGAAGTTTTGTGACTCGCGGAACCTTTGAATCCGAAGTCTGAAATGTTGATCACAGGGTTGCACTCAAATTTTATGCAGCATCTATTATTCTTCACTTTTAAGACTCAAAGATATCTGACTTAAAAAATCAGGTTCTCCCGTTTAAACAGAACATTCAATTTGATAAAATAAAAAAAAATTAGCTTGATTTTAACCTTATCAGACTGACTCAAACAAATAATTTCGTCAGCATGCTGACTGCATTTGTAAATATAGATATACAAATACATGGAGTGAGCAGGTACTGGTTCCTGAGCCGCTACTGGGTACTTTACCTTATTTTTGAAAATAAAAGAGGCTGTTTTTACAAAAGTTCATTAATTTTGGTCAGATTAAAAAATTAGAGAAATTCTGAAATATGTTTCCGATAAGGTAGAAAAAGATAACAAAGTATTAGCCAAATCAAAAGTAATCTAGTTCGAAAGTGCTCGGTTAAGCGTGGAATGCTCTACACTCCCGAGAAAAAATGTTTCTATATAATCATATATAATTGTATATGATCAATGATCATATATGATTATATATGGAATCACATATATAATTATATATAATCATATATAATTATATATAATCATACATGATTATATATGAAATTGTGTATGAGGTTATATATAATCATATATAATTATATATGACTATATATGGAGCGATATACAACCATGCAGGATTATATATAGTTCCATATACAAATATATATAAGTATATAAAATTATATCCCAGTCCGAGCTATCTAATAATTTTTTCTCACATATTCTATACACTCACATTAAAAAGTTCCTCTCTACAATCCTTTCTCAATCCTTTCCTACCAATTATCCTGTTACGTGAATGTTGGAACCCTTCACGTAACAGGATAATTGTTAGGAAAGGATTGAGAAAGGATTATGACGAGGAACTTC